AATAGTCAATTGATGAGAATGTGTGGTTAAAAAATAAGCAATAATTTTGGATTTGCGTGTAATATTATTTTATTGAAAAATATTTGGTTGAAAAAAAGAGAGAAAATTGTATTTTAAAAATAATGGGGATCAAACAAGGTGGGCTTAATTTGATGAGCATTGGTTTTAGTTAAAAAATAAAAATAGCTTGCAATTTTTTATTTTTTTTGTATAATACTAAATACCATGAAGTGTGATTTATTTCTTAAAACATTGTATAATTTTTCGAATACAATTGAACAAAAATAATTGAGAAATCAACATGAATACATGTTTTCATAAAAACAATTAAAAAATCATTGATATTGCATATCACCAGACCTTGTTCGAGCCCCATTATTCGACAAAGAAAGTATTTTTGAATAGTAGATTGATGGAGAATGTGCAATTAAAAAATAAGGAAAAAAATTTGGTTTGCGTGTAATGGAGATATAGTGGGTTAAACCAATTAATTATGTTTAATTTCGATTGAGAAATGTAATTAACTAAAATTGAAAAATCGAGTTTAATATCGTAAATGAGTAATTTATTAATTGGCTCGTGGGTAAATTAATTGGGCTATGGTTAAGTGAAATCATGACTCGCAATCACGTTCTCTTCCAAAATTTTCAAGTGTTCGTATTTTCTTCTTTTGTGGAGTTTTAATTTATTTTTCTTTATTTTCCAAAATCAAATTTTATTGTATGTTTGTTTTTATTTTTAAAATTAAATTGATTAAACTTGTGTAATTTTATTGTATGTTTGTTTTTATTTTTTAAAATTAAATTTAAACTTGTGTAATTTAAATTAAACATTTCTCTAGTGATCGACAACTCGGACTAAAAAATTTCACTTTATTACTTGAATGCAACCTGTACACTTACGGTTTGCACTTTTTTTAGCGAACAACCTCCAAGAATAGATGTTCTCTATCAAGGAGAGAGTGCATGAAGTGGTGAAACACACATGCTTGGTTAGATTTTTCATTTAATAAGATTTTCCAAACTTAATTGTTCAATATTCATACTTTCCAAATTCGAAATTCTAGACAAACCTTTTCAGAAGGTTTTATAAATGCCTGGTATTACAATGATATTTTGCAGTAAAAACCTATGCCAAATGCACCCAGCGGCGGATCCAGCACCCGACGAGGGGGAGCGACCGCGCATGCTGAGCTCTGCTGGAATAGTGGTCTGGTGTCAGTGGAAAGAAGGGGGAGAGGAGAAGAAGGCAGCCGGAATTCTTTCTGGTTTCTTTTTTCTTTTTTATCGTTTCCATATGACCGATGAAGGTGACAAGAAAACACACGACGCAACGCACGCAGAGTCGCGGACGGACCGCAGTCACCACACCGCAGTGAGCTTAGCTGGGACTCCGGAGTCCGGACTCCTGTGACTTGTGAGCAGAAAGCCAGAAATGGAACTCAGTTACTCAGATGGACACTGGATGGAGACGGACCTCCCGACTCGTAAGCCGCAGACATCAGTGGACAAACACTGGACAATAAGTCTCCTTCATTGTTCTTTTACAGATTTCTTTTTTTGGCTTTGGAAATTTGGAATTGGTATTTGATGTTATTTTTTATTTATGAGTTATAAATAATAATTTATGTTCTATGAGTAATGAGTTAATTGGCAATTAATTTAAATGAGAATTTTGATTTTTGAATATGTGATTTGTGAACGATTTGAAAATTTATTATTTATCTTTAGGAATTTAGGGTTTAGGGATAAAAAAATTCAATTGAGAATATGTGATTTAGGAATTTATGGTTTAAGGTTAATAAACCACATCGCTATTACGTGATTGTCTAAGGTCAATGGTCAACATTAAAGGTCCATCCTCCTTGAACTTTAACCCTGAATTCGCCCCTGAATGCACCTGAGATAGACTAGGAGTTTACTTCAACATATACAGAAGGCAACAATAATTTTCATCTTACATTATCGAGTTGGTATATATATTTTTGGTGGCTGGTAATATCACATTGCTTCTGACAGCGTGGAAGTCAGAGGTTGAAATTGGTTTTCAGAAAAATATAAATATCACGCGGAATAAATTATTTAATACTCTATTTTTCAATTTATTCAAACCATATTTTGAATTGTTGGCCATTGACATCTAAAAAAAATAAAATATGTTAACTAAAAGATGGGGTGTGGGGCAAAATTCAGAATAAAAATAGAGAGCATTGTTGGAATGTATAAAAAAATTCTCTATAAATTTAAAGATACTCTCTATTATACATAAACTGCACTTTATAAATAAAGAATTTATTGAAAATACTTAGGGATTGCGCCGCTCTTTTCATTTTTATCTTCATTCTTTGTCATGCTAAGTGCATAATGTGTTTCGTCCCTAAGTTTGCTTAGAACCTCAAAATTGACATTCGAATGAGTTCTGATATCAAATACGAGAAAAAAATGTCTGCATTGAGTAACAAGCTTGAAGATAATGTTTACTCGACGCACTTAAAATCGTTAAGAGACGATATAAGTATTGAGAATTTACTTAACATGCACAGCGAAAATAAAACAATTTTCAATTCCCAAACGAGGATCTGCAATGTGTTTAGATAGAAACTGTGATGAGAATGATACCTTTGATGAATTCCACAAACTCTTTTACTTTTTCTTGAACTCCAATGATCACGATCTGCAATCCAAGCTGTTCAATTGTCCAACCTCCAATGGTGATCCACACAGAGAACAAGAATGACGGCTAG